GGGGGGGGGGGTGTCCATGTAGATGAATCTCATGATTATAGATAGGAAAAAGCAAACTGCAGATGAATGCAAATTATATATAAATAATATGTGCATACTTTATATATGACTTACATGACACTTTAAAAACAGGTAAAAGAAAACCATAGTAAAATAAAGTGTGGAAACAATATCGAGTTGAGGAGAGCAGTTATGTGGTATGGGGTGGGGAGGGCTACAGCGGGGACCTGTCGCTGAGTTACTGACGCGCTCCCGAGAAGGAGAAGGCAGCTGATAGTATCACACAGTCGCACGACCCCTATCCGATCTGGATCACTTGCACTGGGGCGTTACGTTAGGACGGAGAGCGGATCACGGTTGGATAAAATGACCCCCTGCAATAGTCAGTCCAGAGAGAGGTGAGCCCCGTCTCCCTCCTAGCTCCTCCACCCCAATCAAGACTCTTTATTTTCCTGGAATTAATAGATTTTTTTTTAAAAAGGCTACTTATCCTCACTAAGCAGATTTGCTCAAAAGTCATGCTGATGTGAGGAGAGATGCTAAGGGGTGTCAACTAGGAGAGAGAAACACTCCCAGCCCTGGTGTAATCCCTGTATGATGACAGAGCCCAGGGAGGCCATACCAGACGCCAAGACAGGAAAAAACGGTTCATCCATGCACTGAAACAGTCTTCCAGAGATGCCTTCCTCCAAAAGCAAAATAGCCTGTTACTGACTTTTACTAGAAAATGTTTTCCATAGCTGCATATTTACCTAAGTTGGGTTTTTCATTGTTCTGCTGCTCTCAGCTAAATTTGCTTAAGCATTTTGCATGAAGTCAGCATTTCGATTCTTTTGTTTAAAGACCTACACAATTGAGGGAGACAAAGTTGGAACCTACTGGGAGCCAGGCAGTGCAAACATCTCTCTGCGCTAAGGAAAGAAGTCCCAAACCTCGACAGTAGAACATCTTCCACCAGATTAAAGGAATTCTGTGCTTTCCAGATTCTTCCAAGGAAGCCCATGTACCCCTGTTTGAAACCAGCCTCCAAAGGGAATTTCTCACTTTTCTTTAAGTGGACAAAACTCTGAAATTCTGAGTATCCAAGTGAATCTTAGGGAGTCATTACTTCAGTAACAAACTTGGAGGAACTGAAAGGACAAACCATGACAAAACCCATCAAACAGCACTTTCCTACAGAAGCATGGGCTGGACGTTCCCGAGCCCTGGGGAGCCAGTCTTGTCCCGGCTGGAGCCACATCTGTCACAACCACTCATATCTGCAGCAGGTGCCTGCTGAGCACCTGCAACACGCCAACCCCGCGCCCACTTCAGTGCACAGGTGCGGGCCTTGCTCCCAGGGGGCTTCCCGTGTAGCCGGTGGCCAGACACTTAGAAATATGCGAATAAACATGTCCTAACAGCTCCTACCAAGAGCTATGGGGAGAAAAGAAGAACTTGGAGCTGTGAAAGAACAAAATGGGGGTGTTGGTGTAGAGGGTACTTGGGTCAGTGAAGGCTGAAATTCGAGTTCAGACCCACTCAACTCGAGGATGGGGAGGGGAGTCAGCCAGGGGAGGAGCACCGGGCTGGGGGAGGTGCTGCTGGGGTCCCAGGCAGGGGCACGCCTGCATCTCTCTCTCACACACGTGCACACAACCACACAACCACCCTGACACACACACCTGCAGCTCCCTTACCTGGAGGGCCACTAATTCTGAGCTCCGAGGCCTGCACAGGAGGGTAGGGCGGGAACAGGGTCCCAGGGACAAGGAGGGACGTGGGGAATGCGCGAGAAAGGGTGGGAGGCCCAGGCGCTGCCACTCAGAGCTGCTCTCCGAGTGCCTGCTGGTGCCACTCCCCACTCCTCACCTCTGAGATGCCAAGAGCCGTGGGTTCTCTATCCTCATCGGCATCCCTTGACTCCCCCACGACCTTGCTCCATCCCCTGGCCACTGTCATGGAGCAAGCTACCACCATCTTTCTCCAGGACAACTGCAACACAAATGTTCAGAGAACAGATACATCAGCAGGACTCGCTGTGCAGGGGACTCCGGCCGCGTACCCGTGTAGAGGGTAAGGCTGCCTTTTAACATGGGCGGCGAGCTTTTTGTCTAAAAGCCGGACCTGCCTATTTCTGAGCCAGACAGAGGAAGAGAGGCGGCCCTCTCAGAGCTAAGCCTCCGAGCTGCCTTTTTTGGCGTGCTGCCCCCGCGGTCTGGAGCTCGGCCACCTCGCTCAGCCTTCCTGAGTTGGTGCAGTCCGTAGCCGCCACTGCTGACCATCACTGTCCACTTGTTTAAGGTCACACTGAATTTATGTGTAGGAGGTTCGCGTTTCCCTCCATCCACTTATAAACTCACGCTTCTGCCTCCAGAGAGGCCGGGATGGTCTGGCCAGACTCACATTCTGCACCCTCCAGCCCTTCGTGCTAATGGAGGAATATAAGAACTTCTGGGGCGACGTGCGCTCACCAAGCCACAGGAGAGTCCGGTATCTGAGGCGCTTACACTGCAAATGTGGCCTTGTCCGTGGGCAGTCTGCGTACACCACCCACCTGTGTTTTAAAGGGACAGCAAAGGCACAGGGTGCTGCGCCTGGTCTGTAACTGGGCCCAGGATCAGTCCTGAGAGGCTACTGACCCAGGAGGTCAATGCTTCCTGGCAGCCTGGGGCCTGGAGCCGTGGGGTTCTCACTTCCACGCAGCCTGCGGCAGGCAGGGAGGCCCCACATGTTCCCCACAGGAGGTTAGGAACGATGACCTGACCCCTTCAACCATCACCTCCCAATCTTACACTGCAGCTGATTTACAAATCTCACCTAACAAGGGCTTGAGGCATCTTTAAGTGCATTTCTCTACTGAGAACTGGGTTTTGTTTATGAAATGAATGTCGTGGTGGCCTTCCTCTTTCAGAAGGGACTTGAGGAGGGGGACTGCGGCAGCCCAATGTGTGTTAAACAAAGATGAGTAGAAAAATCACGGTCAAGGAATGAGACTGTTCACAAACATGAGGCTAACACGGGGCTCTGTGGGGACCCCAAACCTGGCTCAGGATTCTCTGGTGTCCAGGGCAACAAGGGAAACACCACATATGCTAAAGGGGAAATAAAGTGGCCACTAAATGAAGGACAGAACATGAAGTGTACATCAAATATACAGCTGTCTGCATGAGGTTCCCTGTGTTTGGCGGGTTGGAGGAATGGCTAAAATTTGGCCAAGACCTGATGACTTGTTCTCATGGGACCTGACCTGTCTTATCTCATGACACATAAGGTGCTTCCAAGGATGGCTTTCTCACCTGCAATCTATAAATAAAAACCATTTTCCACCCCCTTTCTTCAAATGATTTATTATAGGGGGCTTTAGAATTCTTGGAAGAAGAGGTCACATAAAGTGACGCTATTCTTTTAGGGAAATGTTTAATGTTCTTGGATGTAAAGCTGTCAGGAAGTGGACCGAATCCTGATGGTGACAGTAGTTAGTAGGGAGGCCAGATTAAAAGAGGACCCGACCCTGACTTCACACTGTAACTGGGCCCAGGATCAGTCCTGAGAGGCTACTGACTCAGAAAGTGGTCTTCACAAATTCCTTTCTGCAGCCTTTCACCTGGATGGAAATGTTGGCAGAGATGCCCATCCTAGAATCAAGCCAGGTCTCTGTGCTGCAAGAGCATGTGAAACTCTGCTGTGGAAATTTCCATCGGGAACCCGCAGAGTTCTCCACGTTTCCCTGGCAGGCAGAGGCCTCTGGGAGACAGATCAATAACCCGGCTTCCTTCTCAGTTATTTAATCCCGCTGTCTGACTTGTTTCTCATGCCTCCCTGATTTTCATGCCCTCGGGACCATGCCTGGGCCTTTCTACACAGGAGGGAACCTCTGGAAATGTCTGTATNTTTCTACACAGGAGGGAACCTCTGGAAAGGCCTGTATTCAATGGGTTCCTGCTCCAGAGCTGAGAAAGTTGGGGGGTGCAGCTGTTGTGATAAAAACAAGAGAAAAAACAGGCCAGTAGCTTGCGAAAGCAGCTGCTGGCTCCACAGAGCTCGGTGCTAGACGTGGCACTTAAGCAAGTACAGCTCAGCGGCAGAAGGAAAGGTGGGTTTCGAGTCCTGTGTGCCCTGGTGAGCAGGAAGCAGGTAGCCCTGGCCTCAGATGGCACACACAGAGGACTGGAAATGAGGATCGCGTGTACCACAGTGTGAGCGACCCACAGGGTACAGTTCCACCCTTTTCTCTCTGACTCCTGCACATGGCCAGATAGATTAAAAACACCCAAGCCATTGTTTCCAGGACTGATGGTAATGACGCCAACTGAGGGGGAAAAATGTCACAAGCTTCCACTGCAGGTTTTAGAGGTGATGTGTCCTGACAGTTTCTTGAATTGGAGCTGATCAAAGAAGAGTCATCTGATTATTTCCACTCTTGCTAAAAAATATTTGATAAAATTCAACACTTATTTCTAATAAAAAAAGAAACCTCACGAAAATAGAAAATGATGACTACTTCCTCTACATGATAAAATATATAAACCTTAGTCCTAAAGCCAACGACTACTAAGTGAAGAATCACTAGAGGCATTTCCACTAAGATCAGGAACAAGACAGGGGTGCCCATTATCTCGACTACTGTTCGTTACTGTACTGGAGGTATGACCCATTGCAATTAGACAAGAGAAATTAAGTAGAGCCATAAGAATTGAAAAACAAAAAGTAAAAGCACTTGCAGAAGGCGTAATAGGAAACCTGCGAAACCTGAGAGAACCACTGCTCAAATCGACTCGGGCAAGAAAAGAATTAAGCCAGCCAGCAGAATATAAAATTAACAAAGAGAAACCCATAGCTTCCACATACACAAAAATAACCAGTCGGAAGAAATAACAGTGGATAAAACTCCATATATAACGGTATTAAAGAAGATAAAATGCTTAGAAAGCAACCTAATAAGAAATGTGCAAAATCTATAAAGGTACACTTTAAAATGTGCCTAAATGATACAAAAGTAGACATCAACAAATATAAAGGCATCCCTGTTCTTGAGTAAAATGACTCAACATGATAAAGATGTCAGTTCTCCTGAAGTTCATTAACACATAACACAGTCCTCCAAAAAATACCACCAAACTTTTTATTGAGTTAGACAAGTTGACCCTAAAATTCATGTGGAAAAAAAAGATTCTAGAATATCTAGAAACCAGATATTCTAGGGTGAGAAAAATCGCAAATGGTTTCTAGTCCTACCAGATATTAAATCACGCTTATGAAATCTCTAAACTTAAAACAATAAGGAACTGGCATTTGAATAAACAAAGTGATCAGTGGAGTAGAAGAGAAACCCAGAAATAGACTCAAGTACATGTGGAAACGTAGTATATGATGAAGGTGCTATCTCAGATCACTGGGCTCTTTAGTAAAAAGGTGCTGAAGAACTGGGTAGCCATTTAGAAAAAAGATAACACCATCCATGCAAATAAACTCCAGTTTACAGAAGAAATAGAGGATGGAAGGAGACTTGACTTGGGGTGGTGAACGCACAATACAATATATAGATGATGCTTATAGAATTGTACCTCTGAGACCTATATAATTTTATTAACCAATGTCACCCCAATTAATTCAAATAAAAGAGAAATAAATATATAAGTACTAGAAGAACACACAGAAGAATTCCTCTGTAAACTGGGTATAGAGAGACAGTACAATAAAATTAAAGATTGATAAATTATACTTCATAAAAATTCAAAATGTATTTCCATGGTAAAAAAGAATTGATAATTCATTAAAATATATATATGTATAAAGAGGATTGCTATGTCTTTTACTGAAAAAAGTGTAAGTTTAGATCAACTTGGAAAGTGAAGTCATCTTACCTAAATAAGCCACTGAGAAGGTCCATTTAAAAAGAGCATGGGGGGGAGAGAAGGTGACC